CAAGGAAGAACTAATGATGAAGATAGTCGTAGTACTTTGAATGACATTAATATATCTTTTTTGACTAATGTTGTTATGTTTTCATCTCACTTGATCATTCGACTGTTATAATTGGAAAGTGATTCGCTCATCTTTCTGTTCTACAAGTGATATAAATCTATGTTACAAATATTACGCTTTATTTTTCTATTTACTTATGTTAAAAATTAAGTTTTGGTAAATCGAAAAAAAAATATCGGAGTCGAACTTGTAACTGACTTCGACTCCAACTCCGACTCCGAACCCGAAAAAGTTTTTTCAGCAAACCCCACTCCGACTCCGACTCCGACGGAGTCGGAGTCGGAGTCGGAATCGGAGTCGGAATCGAGTTTCGAAGTTCTCCGCAGGTCTCTAATCCTCACCCCACACCCATACCCACACCCTTATATATTTCTTAAGTTTCCGAAGATAAGAGTTAGTTAAATTCAGGCTCGATTCAAAATTGAGAAATATATGCTTGATGTAAGTATCTACGAATCCCATTATAGGGAGCTTTTACTGGTATTATATTAGCTTTCTCCTAGTTATAAAGAATTAATAAATTTACGATGACAAATCATATATTTTTATCTAAATTTGGTATAAATTCTATTTTTTTATCTGTAACTCTTGATAAATAGAGAATTCGGTCCCCGTTTCGTATATCAAGTTGAAAACGATCAAATAAATTGTAACGATCTTTTGAATTCGATTTAAATTGTTGAATACGTTCTAATTCTTCATCAGTATAAAATACATTTTTTGAAATACCGTATAGTACGAATGGATGTTTATTTTTATTCATATTTCGTCTATCATCCAATTGCCAGTTCATTTTTTTCTGAATTTGTTCTATTACAGGAACATAGCGCGGATCATAACCACCATGTTTGTCATCCACTGGTTGCACATCCATGTAGAAATCTGCTACAAAACGTGTAACAAATGGTGTTAATGTTGCATGCCAAATTAAAAATTTTGTTAAATTCTCCTGTTGATATTGTTGAATTTCTTGAACAAAATTCGCATGAATTAAACGATGTATACCTTTTCTTTTCCATATGCGATCTGTGCATCCTAATACAAAATGGATTAATGGTTGTTCATTGTATACTGACAATCCAAATTCGAGATCAACCATCAGATATCAAATGAACCGATCTGCTACCCGCGCTAAATAAATGTGAGTTGTGTGTTCGATAACGCTATTCATTCGAGACGATGGATATAAATAACTTTGAGCAGTTAAATCATAAACACTGTTCATTATCGATGATGATTTTAACAATTCTTGTTTAGTTAATTTGTCAATTTTCAATGATGGAGGATAGCTGAGTTGAATTGAGTTTTGACGTTGATTCGGTCTTGTGATCATACTACGTGTTTGTATGAGCGTTGAAACAAACAATCGTTTTGTTGCTAATAACATTGTTTATTTTCTAAAATTGAGATATATCATCAAACTTCAATGATATGAAAAAAAACGATTAAACATGGATGTTATGTATATAATGATTGTAATGTAATTGGATAGGATACATAATCTGATTACTACAGCTGCATTTGTTATATTTTAATAAGTAACGAGAACCTTTTAAATTAACGTCAACGCTGTGCCAATAATTTAGCACGTTTTCGCAAGTCACCATCTTATCATTGCTCGCTTGCACCTTTATGATGATGTAATAATCGTGTTCTTTTCTTCATTATTTATGTAACGATTACTCTTTCTCTTATCATGTTGTCTTTGCATTCGTCTATCTTATGACCAATATACATGCTCTTCTATAAAAAAATGGTGTGCTGTGTGATATAAATAGAACTGGCGTGATGGAGTAGTATAGTCAACATATATACAGAGAGTTGCGATAGCGCTATTTCTGCAATCTCTCATTGAATAATAAATAAAGTAGAGGTAACCATAATAACGAAATGATTGCACTCATCATTTCTCGTTACAGCCGCCACCCTTGGCATTAATATTGACTACATTGCTCCATTACTCCAGTTTGTATCCATATCACAAAAACTACGGCATTATATAGGAGAGCACGGAAGAGAGACCAAAGCAAGCGCATAGGCCAGAGTTGGAACCGGACCGGCAGACGGGCCTGTCAGGTCCGGTCCGGTAGAGGATTCCTTACCGGCCGGTAGAAAAAAACATTTCTTTACCGACCGGTCTAGATTTTGCTGGGTTTTCTCATCTTTGCTTCAAAAAAATGACCATACAAGTGTTTTTTTCTGTAAATCAGGCTAGGGGTGGACCCTTGATTCTAATTTCACTTAATTAAGTCAACTTATTAAGTGGTTTCACTTAACACTTAATATTAATAAAAAAGTTTTCCTGTCATCACTTAATTACTTAATATTAGGTGTTAAGTAAAAACTTAATTCTTAATATTAAGTGTTAAGTGAGAACTTAATTCTTGAAATTAAGTGTTAAGTAAAAACTTAATTCTTAAAATTAAGTGTTAAGTGAGAACTTAATTCTTAAAATTAAGTGTTAAGTGAGAACTTAATTCTTAATATTAAGTGTTAAGTGAGAACTTAATTCTTAATATTAAGTATTAAGTTTTTCACTTTAACACTTAATTCACTTAAAATTAAGTGATTAAGTGTTTGACATGAGGAAAATATGATTTTATTTTGATCGTATCGTTCAAACGCAAATTGTTCAAACCATTTCTTATAAAGTTGAATCAAAGGTTTTTGGAGTCGGGGAATCCAAATCCACAAAGAATTCCTCGAAATCATATACTTCCTGTCAAGGTGTATTCTCCTACAAAAGCTTTTCTCGACGTGAAAAAAGCTTGACATACAATTTTGAGGAAGGAATCCGAATTCTTGACCCAAAAGTAGTTTAATCTTACAAGCAATGTTCCTAAAACAAAGAACTAATAGAATATGACATTATCGAGTAGTATTATATCGTATCAACAGTACTAAAATTATAATAAGTGTACTTGACTGATTCGGATTAGTACTCTTATACGTGTAATATGTTCATCAACAAGGCAAACCAAGTTTTCTATATTCATTACAATTTTGATTGGAAAGATAGTAAAGCTTTAAGCGCTTTTAATTCGAATCATAAACTTGAGATATTTTTTTAACTTTAGTTTAAATTAAACAAAGAGATATCTTATGAGGCTAGCAGTAGCACTCATACATCTCTACCATCTATCGTCTATCATATGTAATGAAAGACTAATAGAATAAAGGGCGGGAGCAGAACGAAAGAAAGGAGGACAGACCAATTAGAAACAAGAGTAAAAACAACAGAACTATAAAAATACAACGATTAGTTTTAAAAAAGAAAGTGATATTTGTAAGACTATTCGATTTCTATTGGTAAAATTTACATTTGTTTTCTATTGAATCAACTACGTTGTTTCATTCCATTCGAAATTTTCATGAATTCTAAAAACAATAACAAAAATCCGGATGATAGTCCAACACAATCTTCATCGGCACAAAGTCCTTATAATCTTCGTCGTAATCAATTACAACCAGGTGCTATTACTAAAAGAAGTAATTCAGCCAAATCCAAAAAAGATATTTCTGTTGCAACTCCAACAAGAAGCCATAGTACAAATTCAACAAATTCACAAAGTATATCAAATCCAGTTGAAATAACATCAAGTGACGACGAACAATCGTCTGAAAATAATGATACAAGTGAAATGGAACGATCGGACGAAGAGCAAGAAATTACAGTACTTCGACATCAAGCTCACCGACAAGAAAACAAGCCACCATCTGTATGGTCATTTTTCGATTATTTAGATGACAATATCTATATGTGTCAAATTTGTTTTAAAGTAAGCAAGTACTACGAAAAATATTCTGCATATCTAAATTCAACTTATCGTCTCAATCGTATGATAATATTCATGTTAGATGACATTATGTTCTAAATGTTTACAGAGGAAAAGAATTTCTCAACGAGTATTGTCTATGAAATCCCATAAAAATCGCAGTTGTAACTGCGTCGATTAGTTTTACTGATCCAAAGATACTGAAATATTTGAGAGGATCGAAGTAGAATCTTTTTTGATAGATCGTTAATAGTTACCGATGTATGTGATCATACGCAAATAGCGTGCTATGGTTTATGTAATTATCAATCTATTGGAAGTGTGTACAGTAAAACCTGGCATTCAGCATTGATCAGAACAATATCGGTTTTAATTTTTCAAATTCAGAAAAAAGTCTGCTAACTTTTGTCTTTAGCCCATCGTATATATTACTAATGAACTATGATGCTGAGTTTTAATCCACAGTAAATAATATTAGATAAACCATAGTTTTTTTCTTATTTCAGAGTTGCATAAGTCGAGCATTTTCAGCTAAGATCATATATTATAGTATTAATGACAACAGTTCTACATCTTATTTTCAAATTAGATATATAAGAATGTAAACTAAACTGATACTTCGCTATATCGCAGTGTAAGAGTATATAGCTGATACCTTGTAAGTTTCTGGATTTATATAATGCACTGGAATTGTTGACTTACAGTTTGGAACTACAAAAAAAGTTTGAGAATGATAGTTCTGTAATAATATCATTCTCGTGTTACATAAAAAAAATCATTGCTGTTAAACTACAAATTGCTATAATGAATATAGATATGGTGCAATTAATTGATCTCTTCCACGTTCACTTTCTATATGTAGATGCTGACACAAGTTCGAGGTATATCGCAGTGAAACACGTGCTACTACGGATATCACAAAAAGCATCCTTGTTCCATTAGAAAACTATAAAAGTTGCCCTTTTAGTTTAAATGAAGGCGTTATAATATCAATAAAACTTTTGCAACCATAATGCTCACACTTTATACAGAAACAAAATTTCAACTTGTTTTTGAAACCATTATAATTTGATTTGTTTTTTTTTCTGCATTATTTTCGTGTGAAATTTAAGCGAGGATAAAGTGATTTTTATCTTATGTTAAAGTTCAACTCATGCGTCAATAATTTTTATATAAATCAGTAAAGTAAATAAATTTTACCCTAATGCATTGTTTCTTGATGTATATTATGATGCTAACGTAAATTATATATACTATAATAGACAAATATACAAATGCTTGCAATAAAATCCAATTCTATGCTGTAAAACAGAAAGAAACTTTCATTATTATTTTTCTAGTGGCCATCGATAAGAATATCTTACTTATCTTTACTATGAAAACGAACTTTGATCAAAATATGATGAAACTGACATAGCAGTGTTGGAAAACATTAATTATAGCGTTCGATTTAAAAAGTCGTTTTTAATGAAAATTTTATTATACTGCGAAAAGCTATACGTTGGTTACTGAAATAAGGACTAGCTCAGCTAACTAAATTTATTGTAGGGAAGTTTTATGAGCATAAGAAGAAAATACTAATTTAATTTGTTTAAAATAAGATTTCAATAAAAAATTTGCATGCATTTTTGTCATATCATGTTAATTGGTTCTCAATTGTTTAACTCTTTCTAGTCGATCAAAACGTCGAATAACAACGATACCAACCTCCGTAGTCACTTGGGTCGACAACACAAAATGGTTGACGTAATGTATGCTTCACAATTTCAACAACGTGCTCCAAAACTAAATCCAATAAAACCTGACAGAAAATTGGAGCTAGATAAAGCAGCACTTGAATGCATAATCATTGATGGCCGTCCATTTGGAGAATTTCGACGTTTAGGCATGTCGAAATTTCTAAATATAATATGTCCAGGATAGTAAGTATTTTGATGTGAATGATTGTATTCTTTTCAATCTATTAATTGGTTAATACTTATCGCTCCGTATATTATCAGGAAAGTAAAAATTTTAGACTAGTGTTTTATTCTCCAATAATTATATCTTAAGGTATAACTGATGCTTTATTAATAGCTTATTATAAACCTAACTACCACAGTGTTCATTTTAATAAGTCTGCACTTTAAAAATCAGTCTTAACTATTTATAAACTTAGCATAAGAGCTTTTGGATGATGCTGATCCCATATGTCTTTGTCAATATTCAAGAAGCATTCAATAACAAACACTTTTACATGCAAATTTTGATTGCCTGTTAGGTTCAGATAGATCGCTAGTTAAGACTTGAAGAATGATATACTTATGAATACTGTAGATATTAAGTTTGATTTAAGTGGGCATAATAGACAAAAAAATCTGTTTTATTTTGTAATAGTTGTTGAAAATTATGTTGCTTGTAGAGCGAACATACGCTTTCGATACATTTTTAGAAGTTCTATTTTTTGGAAAATAGTATTCAAAAAGATCGCTTCTCCAGACTGTAGTGAACCGTGTAATAAAGCTTATAGAGAGCAGTGATATCATATTTAATAGAACTAAAAAGATAATAATCAGAATTTGAAGAAAGTCAATATATATATTATCGTGCTCGAATAAATGACTGGATGTGAGCTTAAGCCAATAATAGTGGCGACACATTTTTGATGTTATTCAGAGAACATAAGTCATCATTAAAATTTTGGAATTGAAATCCTCATTATAAAAGTAGTATTGAGAGTTCTAGTATGAAGCATACTAGCAGGTAAATTTTAACGCAATATTATTATTTTTATTTATCTCCGTCAGAAGCTATGTGGTCTTATTCTTGTTGTAATAGCTAAACGAACTAAACTGAACTAATTAAAAATACACTTACCAGTTCACTTTCTGAATACTTAATACAGAAAACATTTATCATACAATTGCTCTAGAGAAAGCAACTGAAATATTTCAAATATAATTACATAAAGAATGTTTTGTTATATATGATTGAATAATATCTACTCTAACTGTCATTAACAAGCAAGGAGTGCCAACGAAAGCAATCAGAGAGAAGAAAATTACTTAAAAGCTTATTAACGAATATTTACATATGAGAAAGTTTTTTCTTCAAAGTCTTTGCATTAATAGATTTGATATTGAAGCATGTAATTATGGAATTGCCTAATGAGACCCAGCTTACAATCAAAATGAGCATCAAAATAGAGTTCCTTGTAGATGAAAGAGAAAGGAAGATAGAGCTGACTACATAGTTAGACAACATATTTCAATATACAGTTAGGAAGTACATTGTAATCACATCGCATAGCAAGAGAAACATCATTCAAATTCGTTGCTCTGGTTATTAATTTAAGAATTCTTACATACTCTATTTTGCGTCGCTAGTGTCACATATGATGAATGTTTTTAGAAAAGATATGGTTTGCAATCGAACAAGACATTGATATCGCGCACTAAGAAATACTCATTGAACTATTTTAGATAAATTTCATTACTATGTTGCATTAATTATTTTCATACAATCAAGTATGTCTCTATATAGAACATCTAACTTGATTCAGGACGACATTCTATGTTGATCTAGACAGCATCATCTTTAGGTTTAAGCACAATTACCGTTAATATATTATTAATATAATGCTCTTAAATGACACACGTTAGCATTGCTAGTGTGGTACACACTCTGTAGATATATCAATCATTAAGTTATAGTTTGCGTATTGTTTTAGAGAACATAGCCGCTGCCAAAACATTATTTTTAGACTTACAATAACTCCATTAATCGGTAATAATTACTATTTTTTCCACATTATTATAACTATTGCAAACTTGTAATATTTCTGATATTAAAAAAAGCAAGTATCATCAAATCAGGTCCTTTACTGTTTCCAATGGACTTTACAATGAAATACTATTGTTCTATTTTTTTGTAACTTTTCACAATATGAACTGACACATATTTTTATATGGATTTCCACTAATATATAATTGAGCGTTCTTTCGTTTAAGTCATTGTTTTCAGTGACCTTTACCTAGTTTTCGCTGAAAGAATTCAAGTAAAAAAGTGGAAGATGTAAGTCAGCGTTTCACGTTATATTTTCTCATTTTTAACGTAACAAAATTGCTTTGCCCAAAAATACAAATATAAAGATTTGATAGTGGCTTAACTGCGATCTCAATCATTTAAAAGATGACATATGATTCCGAAGAGCCTTAGAAAAGAAAATGTAACTTCTAGAAATCGATTTGAAGAATTAGGCACTAGTCCTTTTTTTACAAAATCTGAGTTGTTCAAGTCTTTATTTCATATTAATACTCAAAAATAGGTTCTTCAACAGCCATAGTTTTAATACGTAAGTAACAGAAGACAATATATACTTTACATCAACTCGAATCAATTGATGGATGAACGGTCGATGCCAATTCAGTTAATTGATATTGAACTGTTACACTGCAGTTTCAATCTTTTAGAAGCAGCTGCTTTACTTGTCTTCTTAAAAGAAATGTTTAGAAATCTTTACGCAAGCATTATTAATCACAAGTTATACAGAAAACTAGTTTAATTAGTTCTAAAACTCGACTATTGTAAATAGTATACACATTGAATGAAATTCCTCAAAACTTGCAATTTAAGAAATCTTTCGCTCTATATTAACAAATTGCTGATTTATAACTTATGTCCTGAGTTCACATACTTGAATTTTCAGACTAGATGTACAATAAATAGGTTTTACATAGTATGAGTTCGTAATTTTTTTGAAAATTAATTATTTTGCCTTCGCTGATTCTTTTACAAGATTTTCAGTTTCGATAATACGTCAATGGAAATAAAAGATAATATGCATTTTGAATAGAAAAATTTGAAACTTGACATAATTTTATACTAATGTATTCTTTTCTAGTCGTGGACCTAGCCGCAAAACGGTACGTCGTCAACTAGGCTTATCTTATCATAAATATCGTCAAGAACTTCGTATTGCACTTGCCTCGGTAAATGCTATTGCTATTACAGTTGATATATGGACGAAAAAACAAACTTCATTTATTTGTTTAACTGGCCATGTATTTAACAATAAATATGAATCAATATCAATTGTATTAGGTTTTCGACGACTTTCTGGTGCTCATCGAGCTGACAACATCAAAAAGTATATTCTTTATGAAATGCAAAATTTAGAAATTGAAGAAAAAGTATGTGCAATTGTCAGTGACAACGGAAGTAATATCAAAAAAGCGATTAATGAAATAAAACCTGGTCAACGTTTTTCATGTATCGCACACAACATCAATCTTGTTGTCAGAAATGGTTTGAAAATATGGGAACCTGTAGAGAAGAAAAAGTAAGCTTTTTTCTTAAGATGAAAAACAGATTACCTTTTACAGACGATTAGAGAAAGACCAGGAGAAGTCAATCAGTTATTAGTAACTGCCACGTAGAGCGCTTTGCTTTCACGAATTACTGTATTGGATATGTTTTGTTATTCAACAAAGAACGATAGTAAAAAATCTTAACGTATTTTTGACTCAAGTGTTCTAGTAAATAATAAATATTTTAATGTTTAAATAATTAAAATACAATAATTATAACAATTCCTAAACAAAACAACTTCACTAAATCAGAAATGCTTTCATAAACACTATATCAAGTTGCTGTTATAAATATAAGCAAAATGAAAGCACTATCACTTTGTTTTTAAAAGGCACTATCAGCAGTAATCTTTTTTGATAAAATTTACAACAAAACTTCTCAGTCAAATACGGTATAACATCTGAGTCATTTAGTGAATCATGTACTTAGTTAACAGTTTTCTATATCATTATCGTATTAATGCAAACTGGGCAAATCTTTTTACTTTGATTTTAGAAAAAAAGTAGCACAAGCAACAACAACAAATACATTTATCTATAGCTCTGATAGTGATGATGATGAAATGTCAGAACCGGATCGAGCCGACATTCCAGAAGAACTTGAAGATGAAGGTGATGAAGACTGTAAACGTATTGAATATAATGAAGGTGATGAAAATAATACAGGTGGTGAAGATTTTGATGAAGATGAAAGTTCAACAGGTAGTGATAATCCATCCGATAGTGGTGGTGGTGATTATATCAGTGAAGATGAATTTGTTCTTGGTGTTGAAAGTGAAGATGAACATGATGATAATTATGAAGGTGAAGATGACAAGGAAGAACACTTAATTGAACCATATCGCACTCAACTTTTCGTTTATCGATTAATTGAACGAGTACGGGCTTGTGTTACGAACATTCATAATACACGAGCCATTTATGATTATGTGAAAAAACAGGCTAAAACCAGCGAACCAAAGATTAAAGCTGGACTTGTATCTGATTTTATAATAAGATGGAATACTACCTTTATTATGATTGATCGTTTTAATAATCATCGTTTTATTATTGACAATGTCAACAGTCAACCGTATCGAATTCCTGATATTAGTACTGTTCAAAGAATGATTCTTTCATCAAAAAAATTTGAATTTACTAATAATGATTGGTTTAATTTAATGGATTTACACGTCGTATTAAAACCATTTTTTATTTCAACAAATATTATTTCGGCCAAAAATTATCCTACTTTAGGAGCAGGATATTCAGGTAGGTGGCATATTTTACTACTAGTGAAAAGTTATTTCGACAAATTGACTGTTCAAGGATGGAAATATTCTACTAACACATACTTGATATTTTAGTTCAATATGCTTTACGTTATTTTCTATTCGGTTCAGCTGAAAATGATTCATCATGGTTAAAATCGTTAAAATTTTGTCTTCGTCAAACATTTGAATTATATTTTGACGAAAAAATAGAAAAACATCAGAAAGATACCAGTTTGGTAAGTTATTAACTCGCTCTTTGTAATCTTCAGAGCCGTTCCCAGAGACACAAATTGATGCACCAGGAAAACAAGAATACCTTATTGATAAAATTCAATCAGAAAAATTTCTTTATGCGCAATATTGATTATTCTCAATCGTTATTACAGTAGAAAATCAAATAAAGGTTCATTGCTAGCTTAACAGCAAAGACTATATTTGAGTTCAAGTTCTCACTTTCTTAAATATGGAGTTGTACTGTCGTTCAAATGCTTCATTTTTTCCTGGTTATTTAATAATCATTATAATAAAGAAATTGATTTTCATAGATCTGACTGTAGACTTTTTTTTAGGATCTATTATTATTTTAATCCAATGTAACGCTTGAAAAGAACGATGCATTTTTTTATTCAAGTTCCATTCCTCATGCAGCTGAGAGTGATAATGATTTTTCATGAAATGACTGCATATTTTAAAAAGACACTGTACTAAATGTCAATTCGTTAGAAATGAATATTTCACGATGCTTTTCACAAATTGCACTGGAAAAGTTTTTCAACATATATAAAAAGAGTCTCTTTGACGGGTGTTTCATAGCTAATTTCACAGAGAATAGAACTCTTTTATAATAAATGATACATGAAACTACTGGTTTTTCTTCTTTTCCTTCTATTATATTGAGGCCATCTAAATATTTTTCGTAGAAAAATACAGAAAAGTATTATCTAATTAAATTAAAAATGCTTTCAAATAGCCATAACCATTTATTTGATCTTTTTACTTACACAAAGAAAAATGCTCTTATTATCAAATCAAACATACTCGACATAGTAAAAAAAATATATTTCACGACTCATTATAAAACTGCTATATTCTTGATTTGACTTATAATTTATCACTGTCTTTACAAATGTCAAAAGCATTATGAGAATCTAGCTATACTAATAATATCATTACTAAATTGTCTTCTATCCTTCAGCATATTGACGAAATATATTTCGAGAAATTAGTGTTTTTTTAATATCATTACTCATGGCGTATCATACACTCTTGTTTCTTTATTTTTTTTTGAAGATACTATATCTCTTAATACAAGGAAAATATGAAACTAACTTAAATCGAGCAACACTATAGAAAGCTAATCGACATAGATCTATTCTAAATTATATGATGTAATTCTATTGTATAGCATGGCTTTTAATATATTGTAAAGTCGTATTCAAAAAAAAACAAAGAGAGTCACATACAGTTAACTATTATACAGAAGGATTACTTTTCTGACGACATATGTACTAATCTATAAGATTAAATAGTTCGACTCCGACTCAGTTGAAACTCTAGACAATCTTCTTTTAACTTTAGGCTTTCAAATCTTGTCCATTAGACAGGCTGCAAGCTCAGATGACAGCCTATCTTTTAGTTACGAACGATGTATCATAAGTTTCTATCCGCATTTATGTTTTGTGCTCCTTTGCAATATTCCATAGAGCACCAGCGTGGAATACCTGTCTGAAAAGTAGTGTATAACATATGATCAAAACCATCTATTAAATTTTTCTAAAAAAAAATAAAATGACATGTTTTTAAGCGTATAAACAAGTTTATTAGATTTATTTTCCATGACATTTTTTAATAATTATATCTGGAGCATAAAAATGACGAGCATGCTTAGTTTAGAGCTATTATAATTCAATAACAACGAGCAAGAAAAATTACATCTTACAGTGAAACTGAGAAAAAAGCAGTTTAACAAACGATTTCATGTATATGAAAATATGATTTACTTATTTTTGATACAGAGAATGCATCCAATTTTTAGCTAAAATAATAACTTCATTGGCATTTTTCATAAAATGTAAACTAACGATTGTCTACCGATGAATTGGTGTAAAGATATAAAATAGATTGGGGCTAAATTTATTCTAAGTCATTATGACAGCAACTATAATATACATATGACTATTCGAACAATAAAGTTTGTAGGTGATATTGGACTTAAGAATCTTACCCAATCATATATAATACAGAACTTGATTACTTCACTGAGCTCAACAACGAATCTAGTAGATTGTGAAATGAGTGTAACACAAATCGTTCAAACGCAAACGCATATTGTTAGCTCTACAATAATGTTGCTGGATTTAATTAGTTTACTTACTACAAGATAGATGTATGGGTGACGATTAGACAAAATATGAACCAACGACTCTACCAAACATTATATAAGGAAATAGTTAAACAATTACCATCTACTTAAACTCTAGAAAACATACCAATATTACAACTACACTAGAATTCATCTGCACATATAATACTTCAGATAACGATAAAATAGTGCTTCATGCATATCCACATCATTAAAATCTCAACAAACACATAAATTTTTTTCCTACCACCCTAGACAGCATTTGATCAAACTTTATAGAGAACCATTATTTTCGAGAAGCAGAGTTTTTTTAATGAACATGAATGCAACAATACCAATACTAATAATATTCTACTGGTATTGCTACATAGCTATTGGCAGCGAAGTTAAAATAAAATAATATCTTCCTCATATCAAATACTTAATCACTTAATTTCAAGTGAATTAAGTGTTAAAGAGAAAAACTTAATACTTAATATTAAGAATTAAGTTCTCACTTAACACTTAATTTTAAGAATTAAGTTTTCACTTAACACTTAATATTAAGAATTAAGTTCTCACTTAACACTTAATATTAAGAATTAAGTTTTCACTTAACACTTAATTTTAAGAATTAAGTTCTCACTTAACACTTAATTTTAAGAATTAAGTTTTTACTTAACACCTAATATTAAGTAATTAAGTGATGACAGGAAAACTTTTTTTTTTAATATTAAGTGTTAAGTGAAAACTTAACGCTTAATATTAAATTAAGATAAAAGGACCACCCCTAAATCAGGCACTTTTTACTAAGGTCGAAAGCTATTTCTGGTAATGAACATGCATCAAAATACTCTCTAAAGTCCAAATTTATCGTAGTATACTTTATCTATTTTATCAGCTCACTTTGATATCATGTTCTCGAAAATATGTCAAATAATTATTTAGCTTTGTGGTTTACCATAGATTCATTCATATTTCTTTACTATTTGTCGCATATATTTAAGGAGAGCAAATGAATAATTAGAAGAGTACAATGAGTATGCAATTTGTGTTTATTAAGTGAATATCGAGTCTCTGCTTAACTTATTTGTGAAGGGGCTATATTCAA